GGGGGGCGGCCCCCGCCGACGTTTTCAGCGCGGCGGCCAAAAAAGAGAGCCTTTGACAAGAGTCACTCGGGGCCGTGACGCTTACCTCTTTTTTGCAGGAGATCAATTTCTTTGGTGAGGCAGTCGATGTCGATTTGGAGTAAGCGGTTTTTGCATCGCAACTGCTTCATCTCCTCCATCTGGGAACGAGAGCGGAGGAGCCAGTTAGATCGGAGACAACATTGGGGTCATTTGGAAAAAGCATCCGTCGCTCTCTCCGTCTCGCTTATCTGTCTGTGCATGCTGTGTGCAGACGCGCCAGCGGGCGGCCAAACTGCCCAAGTTAAGTCAAGTGTTTTTTTTTGCAAGCATGCGCTTTCTTTTGATCAAGGCGTCCACATTTCTTCCCGGAATGGAGGATAGCGAGCGGTCGCAAAAGCTTGCCGATGCACCGCGGGCCTCGTGCGTCCACATTTCTTCCCGGAATGGAGGATAGCGAGCGGTCGCAAAAGCTTGCCGATGCACCGCGGGCCTCGTTCATCATTGAAGATTTGACGTTCATCCTTTCGGCCCTGTTCCGCATCTTTGCTGATCGATTGTTTTTTGTTTCGTTTCGTTTTTCACCCGTGAAATAAGCTCACCGAAGGGATTTGGGAGGCCGAGTTTGATCTCTCCAGTCGTCTCCTGGTCAGGTCGTTCTCCATCTCGTTGACCTCCTCTTTTAGCTTCTCCAGCTTCTTTTTCTTGAGCTCCAGTTCGTGCCACAGCCGCTCCATGCGGGCCTTCTGATGGACCAACAACGCTAAGAAAAAGACAAACCGTCGGTTGCCGTCACGTGAAGACGAGGAGACATTTCAATTGAGAACATCATTAAAAAAAAGAAAAGAAAATGTCATCGAAAAATGTTTCCATTTTCTGACTTTTTTTAATGAAGTGAAAAACGTGAACTCGTGACATGATGTTGCATCTGATATTTTCAATTCAAAACATGAATCGTAAAGTAGAGCCGCAATTTGCCTCATCGAAAATACAAAATGATAAGAGCAAATCGGCTGCAGTTCTGAAAAGCGTCTATTGTTGTGATTTGGATGCGGCCCAGTCAAATGGATGTGAAATTTGGGGGCAGGCCCCAAGTGAGGAACGCGAGAGGCAACAAATAGCTTTTGAGCGCTCGATGCCTGCGCCTCGTCGACTTGGGGAACAGAGCCCGGAATGTGCGCAAGCTCCGTTATGAAAAGGTGCCAAGGGTTCCCTTTTGAAAGCGCGCGCCACACGGCTGAACCCAACACGCAGAAGCGGGTTCTTTGTTTGGGAACGCGTCCAATTGGACACAAATGGCTCCGCTCGAAAGGCTCCGTCGGTGACCATTGCCAACATCGTTTGCGTCACTCCTCCTCTTTGCCGGCAAAACCGTCCGAACTCACGCGTGGATCGATAATTCACAGCTCGCGATTCGAAGGAGAAACCTTCAAAGATCAGCTGCAATCATTTTGAAAGCAGAGCGGGGAGCGTGCAGAGGAGGCCCGTTGCGAAGACCCCCCCCCCCCACCCCCCGTCGGGAGGGACTGCCATGCAATGTCAGAATCGCCGGCGGTGACTCACATTGCAATTTAGTCAAAAGCCCAAATAAGGAAACGCTGGTGTGCGCCGACACGTTTGACTCAGTGTAGGATCTGCTGCGCGCCGGCTGTCCCGGCGTTCGGTGCCGACGACTCGCGCTCAAGTCGTCCCGGCGGGACGCCCACCAAGTCGCCTTTGCTTTTAGCGGCCCGCTCTGGCATTCCCAGCAACAAATGTTTCTCAAAGAGCCTGCGTTGTGGTGGAATGAGCTTCTTGGCAGGGACGAATGGAAAAACAATTCCGACTTGTCAGGGGTATTAAAAAAAAAAAAAAAAAACTATTACGGCGCTACAAACAAGGCTTTTATCCTGAACACGAATGTGCACGTTGTGTAAAGGAGAGTCGGCTTTTAAATCGCGTGCCATTGACCAACCCCTAAAAGAAGCCCTGAACAAGGTGTCGAATCTTGAACGAGGTTTGCGCTTCGATAGCAACTCAAGTTTTGCTTTGGATTTGTAAAACGTCGCGCGTGCGTGCGTGCGGTCACAATGATTTCCTTGAACGATGACCTCGAAAAATGTTTGGAGCGACCGTTTGTCCTCCGGCGACTCATCCATGAACGGGTTTTGAATTTCAAGCTCGCACATCATCCATCCGCATGTTGAACCGGCGCGGTCAAGAAACGATTTGCCGACGGTCCGCCATCGTTGTCGCGGCTCTTGAGTCCCGCGCGAGCGGAGGCCGGCGGCGGCGCCTTACCTTGCGTGTACGCGGCATCGTCGGAGCCCACGCTGAGTCGGCGCGGCTCGCCGGCTCTCTCGCCGGCCGGTGAAAGCGGGTCCGAGAGATGGAGGGGGTCCGGCTCGGCAAAGTGATGCTCCGGCGGGAGGCCGAGGAGATTGTTGGGCTCAAAGGTCGGGGACACGACCCCGGGGGACACGGCCGGGGGCTTGTTGGGGGACACAGTGATTTTAAAAGTATATTTGGTGTTGGGCTGAGTCACCACCACGCGTGGCGAGGAGGCGGCGCTCCCCACTCCCACCGAGGCCCGGGATTTGGGCGGATGGTGGTGGATGTAGGCGGGGCCCATGCTCACCTGGCCCCCAACGTTCCTGGCGCCCGCCGGCCCCTGCAACGGAGGGTTAGCTGAGATGTAGACTGTGGGAGGGTTCCGAGCGCCGCCGTCATCGGCCGAGGAATTGGCCGAAATGTAAAACTTGGGCTGGCAGCGGGATGCGGCCTCCTCGGAGGGCGCGGGAGCGGCGGCGGCGGCCGGCGGGCTCGCCGAGATGTACACGGTGGGCTGGCTGCGGCTCAGACCCGAGCCCCCGATGGAGAGCGGCGCGCTGGGGACGGCGGGGGCCCCGGCCGAGGAGGACGAAGGGCAGGAAGAGGAGGCGGACGCCGAACGGGACCCGCCGCCCGTTCGCAGCACGGCGGTCGCGGTGGCCGAGTTGCTCCTCTGGGGGGATTCGAGCTTGATCTCGATCTGGTTCTTGCGCGGGCCGGTGGAGATGTTCTGGATGTTGTACTGGCTGACGGCGGAGAGCGAGGTGGGCATGACGGAGGAGGAGGACGACGACGACGACGAGGACGACGAGCATGAAGACGAGACGCCGGATGAGGACGGCTGGCTTCCGCAGGGGAACGCGGAGGGTGCCTGCGAATTGGTGGGCGAGCTGATGGGCATGTAGACGTGAGACGTGCGGTGGCCCTGGCCGTGATGCTGCGAGGTGTGCGCGGACGAGGACGGCTGAGGGCCGCACCACGGCCCCGACGAGGCTGAAGGGTGGCAGATCTGATAGAGCTGCTGCTGAGGCTGAGAGGTGGGGCTGTACTGGGCCCTGCCCCCCTGCGGCGGGCCGGCCCGGCCGCTCGCGCACTGGCTCACGTAGGGCCGAATGTAGATGGAGTTCCCCTGCGGACTGCTCAGACCCGACTGCGGCCCGCCGTGGATGTGCAAAGACGTCGGCGTGTTGCGGCCCGTCTGAATGTGAGGCGCCAGCGTGACGGTGATGGGGTTGAAACGCGGCGCCTGCTGCGGACCCCCGCCCGTCGCTTTGACGGCCAGGGGGTAGAGTCCCAGGTGCTGCGGGGGCTGCGGTTTGCGCGAGGGCTCGGCGGCGCCGAAAGCGCCGAGGCCGGGCGCCCCTTCGGCCGGAGCCGACTGCGGCGCCCGCCGGAAGAAGTTGGCGTCGGGCGCCTGGCCCGTCTGCAGGGGCCCTTCGCTCAGGCTGTGGGCCAGCGTGCGGCCGCCGTTCATCCTCAGGCCGTCCCGCGCCGGGCCCGCGTGCACATTCTGAGACGGCGGGCCCAGGTTCAGCTGGGTCATGTGATTACGCAGCCCGCTCAAGCCGGCGGCGTCAGAAAAGTGGACCTTTCCCTCCTCGCTGTACAAGTAGCCCGGACTGACCTGGGACAAATATTCGCAGCACGCGTCCAAATTGTTGTTATTCTGAGAGAAAGAGAGAGAGAGAGAAATTCAGAGGTTAGTTTCTTGAGCATGATGAGGTCGAAATATCGATTCATTTTCCAGTACAGTATGATAATTATTGGTTGAAGATTCCATCTTCTCATTTCCTCTCTCACTCGTGTTGGGATTGTGCTCGCGTCTTTCCCAGCTGATGTGACTAAGAGGAGGCTTTACACCTTGGACTGCTTCCAACTCCATTCCAGGCTGATATGGAAGAGCGCCACACTTTACATTCTGATTGAAATCAAAAGACGAGCGTGTTCACGTTGTTTTTCTCTGAACGAGAATCTCCAAAGCGGCGAGGTTCGTTTATACATTGCAGTATGTGACCAAAAAGTTTTTTTGTAATTCCACAATCCTTGGGGGAAAGTCTTTTTAAGCTTGCGCACCGAAAAAGACATTCTAGTCACGTGAGTGGGCCGAAATATGGCTTCATCATCATGATGAAGACTTGCGGAGATTTCTGCTAAGACGAGTTTTGCATTGGTTTGCCTGCGAAATGACCGAAAAGAAATGCGACGCTTAGTGACTTGGACAAGCGGCTCAAATCACGTTTGCATCAATGTCGCGGACGAAAGGCACTCCACCCCCCCCCCCCCCCCGCCCCCGCCGCTGGTGTGAAAGATGCTCACATGGCCTTACCTGCAGAACACACTGGGACACCACCCCCTCTGGGACTTCAGGGAACTTCTGGCGCAGGTCATGCAAAACCTGAATGTCAATCTGGTGGCTTCCCTGGGCCATTCGTATGTTGCCAGGTCAGGACTACTTTTTGTCGTCGGCGCACTCTGGCATTAGTTGCAGCAGCAAAAAACCTTCATCTTGAAAGTCTTCCTGTGAGGGGGGAAAAAAAAAAAAAGCAAGGTGAGGGATCGGGAGTGAAATAAAGACTTCAACCTTTTCTTTGCTTGCAACGTTACTGCATACGATCTTGAGGTATGCGTTTTGCCCCCCCCCCCGAAAAAAAAGGAGCACGCCTGTGGTAAACTCCAAGTAGACCCAAAATATGTCAACGGGACATTTGGGGTTGTCTGCTCCATTCTGCCCGGGGCTAAAAAGAGAGAAAAAAAAGCAAATCCCAAAAGCCATTTTAGCCGTTGTCTCACACAAGAGTTTCTCTGCCAATCGATCCCCTCTGAAGCACACAACTTGATGAAAAGAGACGCACGCCGAGGGCAGGAAGGAAGTCGTCAGCTTTGAAATCACAAAACGTGGCCGGATTAAGCCGAACCGAGAAACGCCATTTCGCTCGACGTACATTCGTAGACGCCATTTTCCACCGGTCGGATCGAGCCAATCGTTTGCATTTCATGCGCGTTTTGTGGTCGGTCGTGTCTTGAAATCGCCAAGCAATCAATGACGTCATCGATCAATGCCCGTCTTTCCATCCATCCGTTATCTGAAGCGCTTCTCCTCACGAGGGCCGAGAACCGGCGGTCTTCGGGCCGTCGGCGAGGTGCACCCCGAAACCGGTTGCCGGCCCATCGGCGCGTCGGGAGGAAAACCGGAGCACCCGGAGAAAACCCACGCGGGCACGGGGGAGAGCACGCAAACGCCGCACGAAAAGACCGCAGACTGGAATCGAACCGTGCGCCTCCGCGCTGTGCCGTGGACGTGTCGCGTAAAGAGATGTCGACAGTAAAACGTTCATAATGAGAAAGCAAGTTTGGGAAAGCCAAGGAAAAGCGTCCGTCTCCTGCGCAGCAGACTCAGCAAACCAAACGTCAATATTTTCCTTTGTCTTTTGTCATCCAAGGAAATGGAACGTTTTTACAATTAGGCTGCTATGTGGAATTCGTGATGTTTGGGCTTGCAAAGAGAGAGCCTTTAAAAAGTATAATACAATGTCGAGGGCAGGTCAGCGAATTCCACATTTCTTCTTCGGACCCGACGGCCTCCCGTGAAACGTTTCCAATCTCCTTTGGCGCATCGACAGGAACGGGCCCGTTGACTTTCTCGACAACGTTCAGAGCCGACGAGACGACCGTTTGCAGATTTGTTTGACCTCACGGATCGTTGCGCAAAAGGAGGTGGTGGTTGGAGCTCTGATGTCTCCCGCCGCACCCCCCCACATCGTAGGTCCAATTGAAAATAGGACAACTCAAGTGGCATCAAACCTCAGACAGAAGCCGTCGCTGATCAAAAGAAGGAAAAACTATGGGAACTGCACACAGTGAAACGAACATTTATTGATGGATTCTTCTTATTTTTAATCGCGATGATCAAAACGCGTTGCGTGTTGATTCAAGGCGAGTTCCCGACCGCATTCACGTCACGAGACCAACTCCATCGACCTTACGGCCTTAAAGTGCAAAGCTGGAACAGCCGCGCTTTTCATCATGACTTTCCCGAAACCTTTTCAAGGGAAATCTTGCGACCGCTTTGCGTACTTAGAACGGAAAAAGAATCGCTCATCGAATGAAACGACAGTATAAATTGGCAAAGGGAAGCGGCGCTCGATTGGGGACGCGCACCGCGCCGCGCCGCATGCTGTCTCAGACTTGTCTTTGATTTTGCACAAACATCTCCAGAACCGAAAACCGCATTTTATCCGCGCAACCCAAAATGATCCAAAGTGTGCATCTCGGTCCGCACAAAACTAGGATGGACTCTGCGAGAGAGCCGGCTCAGCTTTGAGTTGCCTGCTTTTAAAAGCGGCAGTTGACGTGCCCATACGTCAAGTGTGTGCGTGCGCGCGCGCGCAGGAAATCAAACATTCTTTGGTGCCGCGGCCCGCAGCTGGCGCTTGATGGGAAACAGGCGAGGAAGGGCACGAGTTTCCCAGGTTGACCCGGCCCACTACCCAAAAGCGGGCTACGGCGGCAGGCTTGACAAGCGTGCACAAAGCCAAACTGCAATTAAGTTGGGCCCTTGTGCACGCGCAATCGGAAAGCGAAATCCTTTTACCTCCCTCCAGGTGAATACGCGACAACGGCAAGATATTTCATCGGCAGACAGAGGCGCAGCGTTAGTTGCTATCGGCGCTACGACGTTCACCTTACGGTCGAATGAGGTGGAAGGTTTCTTTTTGTTCGCTTCAGGACAGAGCCGACGAAGACCGAAGCCAGAGCCGCAACTGTTCGCCACGTCAGAGTTTTTCTCTTCGCCTCAAAATCGCAATGGCGAGGCGGGGGGTCGTTTCCGAAGACTCGCCTCCGATGTTTACTCTCCGTAGCCGACATACGGGACTAAAAATAGAAACTTCATTGTGCTGGGAAAAATCTCAATTAAAGCTTGTGCAAGAAATCTGCAAATAGAAATATGAAACGAAAAAAGATGCGTGTGACCAGAACAGGGCGGGAGGGCAAGCGGTAGGTTCCCCCCCC